CTGTGATTAGGCTTGAAGTTTTAATGTGTATTTAACACATAGGTAACTTATTAACCTAACAACACATATATGTTTACGTGTTGTTTACTTGTCAGTAATTGTCTTTGGCACTAATGGATTTCCTTAAACTCACTCACAGAAAGAGAGTTGTGCACCTATAGCAGATTCAAGAATTGGTAACTGTTCTTTAAATATAGAAACAAATGTAAAAGAATTACAAACAGCTCCAACTATATGTCAGTAAATACAGTTGAAGAAAATTCTAACCATTTTTTCTGTGACTTCAGTTCAGTTCAGTTTATTTATATATAGAGTTAAATCCCAGCAGAAGTCGTCTCAGGACTCTGAGCAGAAACATTCACATACATGAAAAGACAGTTAGTAAAAGTTATCCAGGGAATCCAGCAGATTGTGTTGAGTTCAACATTCAGAGAATGTGTAAGACTTTTCTTTTTGCAGGTAAACGTGTTTAACAGACGTGCACATTGTCACTGATAACAGCTGCAACTTCACAGCTCACTGTGTCCACTTTCACTGTGTCCACTCTCACTGTGTCCACTTTCACCGTGTCCATTCTCACTGTGTCCACATTCACTGTGTCCATTCTCACTGTGTCCACATTCACTGTGTCCATTCTCACTGTGTCCACATTCACTGTGTCCACTTTCACTGTGTCCACTTTCACTGCGTCCACTCTCACTGCGTCCACTCTCACTGCGTCCACTTTCACTGCGTCCACTTTCATTGTGTCCACTTTCACTGTGTCCACTTTCATTGTGTCCACTTTCACTGTGTCCACTTTCACTGTGTCCACTCTCACTGTGTCCACATTCACTGTGTCCACTTTCACTGTGTCCACTTTCACTGCGTCCACTCTCACTGTGTCCACTTTCACTGCGTCCACTCTCACTGCGTCCACTTTCACTGCGTCCACTTTCACTGCGTCCGCTTTCACTGCGTCCACTTTCACTGCGTCCACTTTCACTGCGTCCACTCTCACTGCATCCACTTTCACTGCGTCCTCTCTCACTGCATCCACTTTCACTGCGTCCACTTTCACTGCGTGCACTTTCACTGCGTCCACTTTCACTGCGTCCACTCTCACTGCGTCCACTTTCACTGCGTCCACTTTCACTGCGTCC